ATTAATTAATTAATAAAATTTTTCACAGTGAGAGAATTGAGCTGCCTTGGCAGAGGTCTGTGCTCTCCGAGTGCTCTAGTTAAGAATGTCATCGTGCATTTCTAGGAAAGAGTGTTGATTTTCACTTGCCTTCTCATTCTTGTAGTACATTTCGTATTCTCTGATCATGTTTCTGCTAGCAGCTCTGAGGGAAACAGAAACGAGCAACAATGAACAGTCTGAAATGCTGTAGGAACAGTAGGAACAGTGTGCATCGGAACATGTATGTTCGCTGATTTTACTAAGAACAGCTAGGACCAGCCTGCGTGACACTGATGTTCCGTGGTTTCACTGCCGAACATACTGACATACGAACTACGGGCGTGAGAGTAGGGAACGGCGAACAGCGCGCGTACGTTCTGCGATTTCACTGAGAACATACGAACTACTGGCATGATAGTGGCGGGGCACATACGTTCCGCAATTTCACCGTGAACATACAAACGACATGGCGAGAGCAGGGAATGGCTCGCGGCACACATGTATTCCACGATTTCACAGAGAACACGCAAACTACGGGGATGAGCATAGGGAACGGCTTGCGACCCTCGTACATTCCGCGATTTCACGAGAGAACATGCGAACTACGAGCGAGCGAGCGGCGCACGTACGTTCCGTGGTAGACGATCGTGTTGATGTCGCTCCACGTCTCAAACTCTCGCTGCCAGTTCGGGATCGTGGAAAGCGGCGCAATGATGAGGAAAGGTCCTGTGATGCCGACCTGCTCCACGTCTAGCAAGAAGGCAATCGACTGTACGGTCTTACCCAGTCCCATCTCATCAGCCAGGATGCAGTTCTGTCTGCTCAGCAACAAACAACAACGACAACAACAGTCAACAACTGTTGATGCAACGGTACACGTCTGCTCAACAAAAATAACAACGACAACAGTGAACAACTATCGCACATCAATCTTTTCCCCAATATGTGCACCGATCTGCATTTTAAATTAGATAGGACAACACACCTAGCACGTGATTTTTGCTCTCGCGAGTCCAGAACCCTGTCTCTACACTAGCTGTTTCTTGTAGTTCTAGCAGCTTGTACTGAGCTCACACAGTTCTAATGTTGAAATTGCACGTATAGATTCACGCACTCACGCATACTCAGACATGTCAACATGCACACGCAGGCACGCACGCACGCGCACACACACATACACCCACACGCAAGCAGGCACTCACACACACACATACAAACACACATAGGCACGCACACACGCATGCATGCACATGTACGCACGCACACATACACACACACGCAGGCGCTCACACACGCATGCATGCACATGTACGCACGCACACATACACACACACGCAGGCGCTCACACACGCATGCATGCACATGTACGCACGCACA